ACTTTTATTTTGTTACATTCAAAGCTAAAAATTATATTTTTACTTCTTTACTTTAAAATGTAACACCTTGTTACAAAATTAAATATGTTTGAACTCATCACAAAAGATGTTTTTGCTCTAAAAAATGGTGTTGAATTTACTCAACAAAGTCATGTCAGCTCCATGTTTAGTAAATTGAGCAAAGAATATACATATTTTGCTCACTTTACTCAACCAGGTTTAGTGGAACCAGTTTGGTTCAGTAAATTCAACAGTTTATTTCTTGGAGTGTGTAAAAATACTTTTAATTTTTGTAAACAGTTTTATGACTTTTACTTGAGTAGTTTTCTCATGAGTGAAATTTATTTTTACCATAGTCATTTTCTGTTCATGTAATTTTACGTGGTTATTTTTTCAAGTCATTTATAGACCTCCGGTCCTTTAACAGCCACAGTCAGAGGGACTTGTCTTCTAGTTTTTACCTTGAACCTGCTGCTCAGGTGTCTGTGTACAGTGTGGTACACACCACGTCACCAAACAGCCCTGTGACTACCTGTCAGCCTTTAAACAGACTGACTGAGGACAGACTGAAGACACCTGAGACACATGTCCCTGTGGACAAATTAGGTTCTGTTTTTTTATTACATTTATTGTCCCTACGTGGCAAAATTATTTCCACACAGCAGCTGAGGGGTTTAAGGGTTTTGCTCAAGGGTCCAGAGAGTGGCAAAAGAGGGTTTCCCACCCTCACTGTGTTTTTGTTGTTGGTCTGATTTGAACCTTCAGGCCCACCTTCTCTACCCTCAGCACCTCTGCTCCTCATACTTCTGGCAACTGTGTTTTTTTTTCTTTCTCTAACAAAACAATGAGAAACTATAGTGAATGTGACTGTTAGTGTTGAACTGAAGGTCGATTCTCAGACCTTAAACTGCTCCTCCACATCACACACAGACCTGAGAGGGATCCGATTATTGCTCATGTGAAAGGCAGGAATTCACATGTGACATTTATGGAATGAACCAGGAGGCAGACTGAGGCTGAATAACTTATCCCAAAACTATTTGCAGCCATTTTTTCTTTTGTTTTTTTCCTCAGAAAAAGAAAACATCATTAATGGTACACAAGATATCATCTGATTATCTGTAAAGTTGCAAAAGAAGTTGTTTTCTCAGAAAATTGTGCAGAAGGAGACAGGATTTACTTTGCAAAATAAAATAATGGCATCAAGGACATCTGAGTTAAGCATTAATTACTTCATGAAACATTTTTACTTTCTTTTTTTTAATAATTCATCGTCTCGTTTTGGTCTGAATGTTAGTTTTGTCTCGTACGAGCGGCAGAATCGTGTGATGTCAGATCCAACAAGTGAGTTTTTGTCTGGTGGTCTGCCTGCAGGCTCACTGTGACGCAAAAACAAACAGCTTTTCCTACATTTTCCACTTTCGTTCACACTTATTAAAACTGTGAGATTGTGTTAGACTGATGGATACAGTGAATGCAGAGTTGTCACTACGTGTTTCAAAACAGTTTTATTCTTTCCTCCAGTGATCCGACGCAGATCAAATCTAAAGATGAACAGATTTTATTTCTGCATAAAAGTGAGCTGAAGCAGCTTTTCAAAGCAAACCTGAATAAATACATGTTAGTTTCTACATGTGTTAGTGATGAAATGAGAGATGAAGGGCTGACTCACCTGCAGGACGCTCCAGGTGATGAAGGTGATGAAGGTGATGAAGGTGATGATGACACTCAGGAAATTCCCAATTCAGAAGTCAAATCTAGAAGCTGTAACAGCTACTGAGGCTGTTTCTGTTTGTTTGCTGGGGTGCGGAGTGGTGGGGGGGGGTTGTTTGTAGGAGGGAGGGGGTCTGTGGTAAAGTTTGTTGAGATTAAAGCCAATCGAGGTTGTGGGGGGGTTTCTTCTCCCCTGTGCTCTCCCCAACAACCAGAGGTAGATGGTCCTGAGCCCCCCTGAGTCTGGAGGAAGCAGGATGGAGGAGAGGCCACAGGGAGGGGGAGGGGGCTGGGCAGGGTGGGTGGGGTGCAGAGTTTCAACTGAAAACTTTCCTGATGCTTCTTATGACGCTGAATTACAGCCGCTCTTTGTTTATCAACAACAACAACAAACCTGACACTCCAGGAAAGTTTGAAATGAAAAAATAATTTGTTAGACTAAATAAACCTGAAGAGGACAACAGATTAAAAACTTTGTTCTTCCTGAGTGCTGACTTTAATCTCTAAATTCAAATTTAATAAATGAAGTTTGAATATAATTTTGGACTTTTTTGTCGGAATTTCAGAATTTTGAGATTAAAGTCAGCATTTAGTATTATAT